CTCGTTGGCATTTTGCATATGACAGCAGAAAAAGTTTACTGATTGCGAGCGAGTGCGTCTCGTGCCGTGCTGATTGGATGGACGCACAGAACGCAGCAATTGAATCGAGACATCGTCATCGGGCGATTTTCTAACCAAAACAAGAGCTCTAATCCGACTATGTCTAACCCGGGGCAACCACAAGAGGCACGCCAACAACATCGGTGGCAGGGCCAGAGTACTGTATTTGAAGGCCCGCGGGCCTTGTTAGAGCAGGCGGCGACCCTCGTTCGCGCATTTTTAATCCGTTTAAATGAATGACAGTCTAATTGGAGGATTTGCAGCGACGCTGAAGGACAGGCCGGGGCCAGACGGCTCCTTAATAGTGACAAAGTCCTTGCCATATGCTTTGAAAAAACCACATGTTATTCACGGTATTTAAACAAACAGCAACAGCAACAGGGGCGGGCGAACCAGGCCACCAGGCCACCAAGCCACCAAGCCACCCCCTGGCTCTGACTCTCCCAATGCTACAGTTTTCCAATCCTCCCAGTCGTCCTCCAACCCTCATACAATTAGGTTCTCTACCCTGTACGTCTCCGTCTCTGTCTCTGGCTCTGGCTCACATGAAATCCAATTCCAATTTTTATTTAATGCGCGAAAAGCACTTGATTGGATCCAGAGCAAGAACTCAGACCCAAGTTTTAGTTCGTTACATACTCCAGGGACAATCCACTCCTCCTCCCCGCCCCTCCCCTCCCTCTCCACACCGATGGGGTGGCAAGTGCAGGATGCAGTCCGTGTATCGGCTGTGTAAACTTCCACTGGCACAGGAGAAGTAGAGAGTGCCAGAGAGTGCCAGGCAGCAAGAAGCTGTTTCGTCCTGGTATCCCACAAACCACCAAGATTACGGGAGACAGGCAGCGCATTAACATCAAGGAGCGGAAAAGGTGTCTGCTGTCTCCGGAATGAACGGTCCTGCGACAACGCAAAAGTTGAGCCAATTACCATTTACATTTCGCTATCTTCTTCGGGTAATTAAAACCCACCGAAGATGCCAGGAGTCGGCATAAGGAGCACGTAGCTACTTCTAAGCTTTAGTCGCTAGATGGTAATCTTAGTTTTTAATTTGCTTTCCCCGCTTCGCTCAGACACTCATTCCCCCTTCTATTATCCCTTCTATTGTCTATTCTGTGTCTCTCTGTCGGCTTGACTTAATCACACTAAGGCAATTTCACGCCTTTTTGCGCTTTGTCTCTGACGAGGGGAATCACTTTGTCACTTGGCAGTTTGATGTATCGACAGGGGCCAAGCCAAACAGCCAACCCACCAACCCACCCACCCCCCAACCAATCCATCCATCCCCTCTCCTTACATGCCCTCACTCGAGTGACATGCCAAAATGGTATAGTACTAGCCTCAGAGATCTTCAGGGGTAGATTAGCAATTGGGTTTTTGTAAAGATTTTGTGCATCGATTTGTATATCGGAGATTTGCGTTAATTTTCACAGAAAATATTTACTCCTGGTGTGCGGCCGAATGTGTTTGGGATTTTTACTTGACTCCAAATTGCAGTCACGTGTCGCATATGTGGATATTCCTTGGTGGATAATCAATAAAGGGAAGTGGAAATCTAATGGATTGGGGAAATTGCTCTCGAAACAGTTTGATAATTCGATGATAATCTTAAACAGCAAAAGGACATTATGTTTGGAAAAGAATAGATAGATTGTATCTGTAACTAAACATCTTTTGATCTAATTTAAAGATCTTATAGTAACTTTTTTAGGTCTATTGCAGAGATACATATGTACTTCAAAAAAGGATGGCAATTTTGTTTAGATTTCTAACATTTTCGACTGGAGAAAGTATGTTTCGAAATGATGTTGATTCTGGAACTGCGCTCCTTCTGAAATACCCCCATGATTATTTATCGTTCATTAATCACATCAGCTTATGGCTTCAGCTTGAACTGTTCGCTGCTGCAATTAATTAAATATAAACTAAACAATATTTTTAATGAAATGGCAATGGCCGAAGGCAATCATGTGTTTAATATTCATTTCGTCGACAGCCAACATGGCGGCCAGGCAGATTTTCTGGCTCCAAATTGCTTCCCATGGAGAGAGGGAGAGAGAGGCAGAGAGGAATACATGGCAATAAATTTTAATTAAAAATGCAACTCATATGGAAAGTGGAACAATTAGCACCTGAAAATATGCAAACATTAAATTGCTGCTACTGTGGCAGACACAACAGCAACAGCAACAGCCACAGCCACGCTGTGGCACAGCACAAAGTGCAACAAAAGAAGCGACATTTAAATAAATTGTACGTATGTGTCTGGGGCGGTCTGTGTAAACCTGCTCCACGACTGACCATAACAGACACATATTTTGTCCCGGCACTGGCCACATCCTCACATCCTGTCTGCCCGGACACTAGGGTACTGCCATGCAACAAAGCCAAAAGAAATCGGAAGGAGTCTGTCCACATCTCGACTATAAGATACCCAATAATTGGTAGCAATCCTTTCTATAAACATACCACTAAAAAAGTAAATATTTAATGACCAAGAGAATTTCGTTTTAACTCTAATTTTCATTAATTTTCATAACTTTGCAGGGGTTTACGAAGTATCCGCACCAAGGTGTTCCATTCATACTGATAAATAGTCGAATGGAGGCGAAGAAATCGAATGCTGATCAATAATATATGCCCAAAACATTCTTCTTCCCATTACAAGGGGTACGAAAAGTTCGAGGGAACAGAACGATATGAAAAACGAGCGGAAAACATTCAAAAATTTGTTACTTTTGCTGTCCAGCCATCGTTTCGTATACATACTCGTATTTACTGGACAGTTGGGGGTTTTTCTATATAACTGACAAATAAATATTTTAGCTGCTGCCCCCGAAATCTTGCCGCGCTCAACAGTCGGCCCTGTACTATGGGAATGGAAGAGTAGGGGAACGCAACGGAGGGATCCTATCCACTGTCTGTCTGTATGTGTGGGGCAGCAATATGTAGAGGCTACGCGCAGCATATACTCAAAATCCAAACCGGGAGCAACAAATACTCGTGCAACAACAGAAAACATGGCCACATATTCACACAATCTCAATCTCGCTGGCGCTGCTAAAAAATCGACAAAAACAACCTGTTCGGAAACACTTGCAACAAGGAAATCACAACGGCTATCATGCCGCACAGAGGACGACAGACAGAGACGGCAGCAGGCAGAGTGAGAGGGCATGTCGAGCCGGAGCTATCACGGGGGTGGACAAGCGAGACAGAGAGAGAGAACACGAAGCGCCGCCTCCTTTTTCGAACTCTGCACAGCACACAGCAGCGGCACAGTGGGACGAAAGCCGGCCGAAAGGAGAGTGCAAATTGGGAGATGATTGTGATATATTTTAACTGTAGAGATCCAAATATCGAAATAGCCATTCTCATAGCAATACATTATTGCTTTATAGTCCGCTTTTTATTTGGTTCCTAAGGTGTGCTCCTTCCTCTGGCGTTCTTCTATGTAAGTATGTTTATGGGAACCCTTTTCCGTTTATTTGCCTCTTCTTGGGTGTATTTTTGCGTATTTTTCTGCTTCTAGGATGCTACTCGTTCTTCTTCTTTTTGTGTTTTAGGTTATGTCGACGGCTTGCCCTCATCTTCTTTTTGCTTTTTTTATCTGTGTTCAGAATGGGAATGGGGATACATTTGTGGTCCTCCGTCTTCATGTTGTGTGCACAAATGCGATAGAATTTTATTGGTTGTTTTTAAAACCATGTAGATTAGGTATTGTATCATCAGCACAGCGCTTGCACTGGGGACAAATAGATAAAGGCTGTGTCGACTTTTCAAGCTCAACCACAAATAATACTTCTTATAGACGCTGGATTACTCTGTTGGTCTGCCGTTTCTAATGGCTGCAATCGTAGAAAATAGGGTGAATTTGAAAATATGTCCCATTATTGTATCAATGACTCCAGCGGCGTTTGGCTCCAGAAACATTTGTAAAAGCTTTGTGGCAGCCGGAAGAGAGGTTGGCCAGGCCAGAGCTGCAAAAATTTGACATAATAATGACATCGATAGTCGTATAGAGAGTAGACACCTCCGCAGGTTTACTATCGATATCGGAATAGACGAAGAATTGGCGTTTTTATATATATTAAGCAATGTCTTTATGGCCTCACGGGTTCAAACGAATTTCGGTGATAGCTGATAGGCAGAAAAGTGCAACAATAGTCGAATATTCCGAATAGACGCACCTGCGTTCAAAAGGACTCAACTTTTTGCCACCGGATTGCTGGGAATATTTTTTAGTTGATTTTTAAAGGTGGCATTGTGTGGGTCTTTTTTGTTGTTTATATTTCACATAAATAAAATCAAATGGATAGAAAAATGGGTAATTATTCAGTGAATCAAGTACTTTACTACAATTGTTTGCTACCTTTGCACCACTGTGCCATGCACCATATACAATTTAGGTAAAATGAGAAACTTTTTCGAACAAGCCTGCCCTGCCGCGGACGGCAGCCAACCAGGAGGCGCCGCGGCTTGTGCCTCACACAATAAAACCACAGAATATGTTTGCCTACTGCCAGAGCAGATGGAACCGGAGACAGAGAGAAGTAGAGAGAGCGACAGAAAGGGATGGATGGCCACGAGAGAGAGGGAGGATGAGAGTGAGAGTGGGAGTGAGAGTGAGAGAGAGAAAGAGAGGCCGTGACATAAGGGTGTCCGTGCTCTCCGGCAGAGGCAGAATCTGAACAGACTCCGTGCAGAATCTGGACAGATGGGCCGAGTGCCGCGAGAGTGCGGAGAACTCTCCCAATCTGAATGGGACAATATGAGAATACGAGAATTCCAACTGGACTGACTCGGGTGGTGGCAAGTTGCAAGTGGCAAGTGGCGGGTACTTAAGGAGGAACAGATTGCGAGCAGGCAGCAGTCGAAGCTGGAATTTCGAATCGAACGGAACAGAACAAAGTCCAGACCCAGTGAGAAGCGAGAATCGAGTTGAAAGCCAAGTGAAGATGAATTTGCTCATGGATAGCCTGCCGTCGCATGCGAATCCTGGCTCGCGTCGCTCCACGCCGCCCCAGCACACGGAGCTGAGGATCTCCACATCCTCGCCACACCACAACCAGCAGCAGAACCATGCACAGCATCAGCAGCAGCACCAGCAGCACCAACACCAGCACCCACACCAACACCAGCTCCAACAGACACCCAATCTCAACAACAACAACAACAACAATGAGACACCCACATCGCCACCCGGTGGAAAGACCACGCTGAAGCGCGCCTTTGACGTGGCATTTCTGATGATGCCCGACGAGCGCATCAAGCAAAAGCAGGCCGAGAAACAGGCCCGTCTCCAGGAGGCACTGCAGCAACACCACCATCACCACCAACAGCTGCAGCTGCAGCAGCATCAGCAGCAGATGAACCACTATCCCACGGATCTGTCACCGCGTGGCGCCTCCTCGCAGCCACCATCGCCGGCGGCCATGGAGTACATCAGCCTGCTGGAGGCGCGTCAACGCTATCCCCAGCTGAGCATCCGCTCGCCGCGAGTGTACGATGATCCCACTCTGGTCATACCGCTAGTGGATTCCCCGGAGGCCACGGCCACGGCTTCGCCACCACCGCCGATGCGTAGCGCCTTTACGAAAGTGGCCTCGTCGTCGCTGTCCACATCCTCGTCGCCTTCGACCACATCGCGTCTGGAGTCGCCCGTGGATGTGGGAGCCCCTCCATTGAGCCCGGATCAACTGAGCTGCCATTCGATGAGTCCGCCGCTGGTCACTCCACCGCCGCGCACCAACAGCGGTGGCAGTGTGGGAAGTGTGGGTCCACCACATGTGGCCAATCCCTTGCCACCCAATCCGATTGTGTACCACAACTTTCGGCCAGAGTACCAGTTCAACGGAGCCTTCCAGGCGGTGAATCCCATGCAGGCGCTGCAGGCACAGCATCGGCTGAAGCAGCACCTGCTCTACACGCGTCCCCCGGGACCAGGTGGCCATCCCAACGGTGGAGGAGGACCGGGGACACCCTCATCGCCACCGTCGGGTCCGCCAGCGGAGTTTCTGCATGGCGCATATCCGGGATTCGGGCCGCCTCCGCATCCGTTTGCCGTGTCCCAGCCCCTGCAGAATCCTGCAGCAGCTGCGATTCTCTCCACGCTAATCCCACCCACACTGGCCTCCACCTTCACCCTGACCGCACAGAACGTGTGCGCCAAGTGCAACATTAGCTTCCGGATGACCAGCGACCTGGTCTACCACATGCGCTCCCACCACAAGAGCGAGGTGGCCTGCGATCCCAATCGCCGCAAGCGCGAGGAGAAGCTGAGGTGCCCCGTCTGCCAGGAGACGTTCCGCGAGCGGCACCATCTCACCAGGCACATGACGGCCCATCAGGACAAGGCCAGTGACCATCAGCCGCAGCTGGAGGAGTCCAGCGACAATGAGATCATCAATGTGGTGGGAGGCACACCGCCCGGACGGAGAATGGGAGGTGTACCCAAATGATCGAAGCATTTCTTCGGATACTTTTAAGACTCAACCCCCAGCCGTCATCGTTTTTGTGCCCGTAATGCCCCTTCTCTATTGTGATATTAATTTTACTTTTTTTTTTTAGCCCTAAATGTAGTGCAATTTTTTTTAAATAGCCTCTCTCTATGTCTATGAATAATCAGTCTTTGCGGAACCGAAACGTTCTCTGGTTCAATCATTGTAAAATATTTGAAATAAGTTGCCGATCTGCTAATCTTAGCATACAATGTGTGGCTGAATGTTTCAATAAAAATCTAAATGTTATGCAAATCTTAATTCAATTGTTTTGTGCTTAATGAAATTTACTTACAGTTTCCGAGTACAAAAATCGAATGCCAATTACATCCTTCCGAATAATTCGTTGAAGGTTTCACGTCTGAAATTATAAATTCAGTCAGTTTTTTGCCAACGATTCCAGTCTTTCTTTTATCAAATACTCGTATGGAGAATAATTGCATTTGTAATACTCATAAATTGATTTTCTCCATTCGATTTTGGACAAATATAAAAAGAGTACCATTTGGATTGGATCCTCCAGTTGTTTATTGTTTATTTTTAATTATTATTATTATTGTATTATTTATATACATAGTTCTGATTTTAAGAGTTATATAGTAAGATTTATATTTAAGTTTTTAATAAAAGGATTTTATTTTCTTATTATTCAGGAAATTTTTCTGTTTTTAATATTTGAGGGATCTAGATGTTAAGGGATTTGAGGGTGCAGTACTTCTCTAGTTTCTTAATTTAAAGAATTATTTGAACCTATCCTTGGTGCCCAATTTTGGGGATGTGGAGATCTCTTTCGAGCATTGAGGTCCACACAAACCAAGGAGCAGCTGTCATCGCTTTTAAAGTTTTTGCTTGCATAATTCTTATTTTGTTAAGACAAGTTTTTGCTATACATCCCCAGGCCTGAATGGCGCATGTTTACATGGGAATTATCATAGCCTTTTGGAAACTTACTTTTTGAGCCTATATTTATATTTATCGATAGTGGCTCTGATGTGTGGTCCACTAGTCAGGCTTTTATCGAAATGGACTCTTATGTAGCAGTGACTAATCTTGCGCGGTATAAGGATTATATTTCCATTGAAGGTTTGCTCTGGTGGATGTTTATTTCTTGACTGTCGTTTGTGATATTCCATTCGTTGGCCCAGTATTCCGCCGTTCCGAGACCACCGTTTCTCAGCAACGGCTTTGTAGCAAGTGGGTGATGAGAGGATGTAGTATCATCAGCGTAAGCATGTGAATAGAGTATACAGAATTCTACCAAGAGCGCTGTCTCGTCTTTGTTTGTAACGATAAATGGTTTTTGACTCAGAAACGATTGTACGATTATATACTGCGGGTGGGTAAGAGGATCTTCGGTTTATATAAAAGGCCGGCATGCCAGACTTTATGAAACGCTTGTTTTGATATCGTGAAACACAACATTCTATTTTTTCGAATATCTAAGCGAATACTGTAAGTTAGCTTATGGGTATGTATGACTCTGGCCTGGCCTTAACATTTTCGAAATCAAGGCACACTTCCATTGTGTTAAGCAGTGACATAGACGTTTATTTTTTAAAGTTATTCGTAACATTTCCCTTCAAATTCATGTTGTTTCGAATGCCGGACTCCTCGGACTCTTAGTGCTCCGAATTTGTAGAGATTTTAAGCCCAAAAATCAGATAATGCTGAATTTTTAGAAGGCAAAGCTTTTCCTATTTGTGATTATCCTTTTCACTTTCACCACTCAATATAGTTAATTGATTGATTAGTTCTGTATACCTTTTGAAAAATCACATGACTGTTGATTCTGTGTACCCTAAGACTATCTTTCTAACCCGCCACATTGTTCTGTAGAGTAGACCAAAAAACATAGGTTCCCAGGCTTAGAAAAACCACTAAAGTCAGCGGCGGGCACATGCAGGGCCGAAGGCATACGCCATATGTGAGTAGAGGAGAGAATATGTTCGACTTGTTAGCGCAGTGAAGCTGAAGTCGCGGGCTCGCTGGGATTGGGATGCGTCGGCCGCATGCAGCAATTAGATGCGGCCACAAAAACTACGACTCTACTACGACGCCGACGCTAATGAGCTGACGGAGACGAGATTGTTCTGGGAACTGAAATGGGAACAAGATGGAGGCCTTGTAAAACAGAATCCGGGGTTGTCCTTGCCAGGCGCCGTACAGTGGGGACTTCGTGCATTTCCGACGAGCAGTGTAGCGATGGTGGTAAGGAAGCGCTGGATGCTGCCTCTGGTAACCCATCATCAAGTGCTCGTGCAGTTTTTGGCAAAAATGAATTTCGAATTTCAATATTTCCACACTCATGCGGCAGAGGCAGGGGGGAGACAACCCTTGTTGGGTTCTTGCCACAGTTCCCATGAGCCACGAATATGTGTAGCATGGCAAATTCCTACAAAGCGCAACGAATTCCTTGGGTGGTGGCGGTGGCGGCGGCAGCGTCTCTGGCTCTGTCTGTGCCCCGCCGCTGCACTCAAATGAGCCACAGCGAATCGCGTTGATTTAGCGTGGCCAAATCCTGTTAGCCCCGTGCCACAGAGCCACACAGCCACGCAGCCACACAGCCAGACGATTCTCTCAGGACGTCTTCCTGCCTTATCAACTGATGTATCAATTGATGGCATCGCTAAACGGCAAACGTTCTGCTCCGATCCGCTCTGCTCATTGTTCCCATGATGGGATTAGCATTTTATGGCTTTGTGTTCGCTGCTTGCCACTTGATAAAGACATTTTTTTTGTTTCCTTGTTTCCCAGGCGGCAGAGAACCATATCTGGGGAATATAATCTGTGGAAATTGCGGGGGGAGCCACAGAGGTGGGAAGGTCTAGAGGTGACAAGAAAACTGCTTGGGGGAGTCCTTAAGTCAGATTTAAGAGATTTTGAATATTGTATGAACTTATTTATTGGGAAGTTCTTCCCAAGGAGTTCTTGTTGGAGTAAATTCGAATGCAAAAGTTTATTAAAAAAAGTATGGAGGGGATCAGAAAGCATAGCTTTTAATCGAGCAAGAGATCCCCAAGATCTTCCTTGAACTCCACTCTTTTGAAAAGAATTCCACGAAGTAAAGTTTTAGGCAATTCCCTTGTAGGATATGAGTGCATGGTACAGGAATCAGTAGATGAAAAAGGAATGGAGGGAAGGTTGTAAGAAGGAACAGAGTAGCAAAGTTAAAAAAATTAAGCGAATTGATCAATATCGCAGTCGTTACTAGCATAAGTACCGTTGAGGAATAAGGATGAAAGAAATTGGGATGAATTATGTTTAGAGTTAACAAATCTTAAAGTTTAAGATTTGCAAGTTAAAGTCTAACTTACATGTGGAAAAGTAGTTGTTAATAAACCAAATTTAGTTCCGGCAATTGAACACGGACCTTTTGAACTGCTTTTACAAACGATAGTTAATATTCCGTACTTTATTGAACGTGGAGTGAACCAGAAAGGACCACTTAAATTGTTCAAAGGGGAAGCTAAATGGACGTAAGTCCATCCATACTAAAGACTGGATTCGTGGAAATGAGAAAGTTTAAGATTTAAGGAGAAGCAAATGCCTCGACCAGCATTATAGTTTATGGCTTTATGATAGTTTTGATGGCTTTTGACCATCGTAATCGATGTATCGCTACCCCAGCCTACACATAATATTGCAAATCGGGTTCACCTGACCCAAAAAACCAGTCAAATAATCGACGAAATAATGTTGCATAGACGGAAACATCAGGTTAGAGTCAACGTGAAGTATTTAAGTGGAAAAGCAATATTTAAACCGGTTTATTGAGCACAGGCGAAGTCCAAAAACTATTATTTCAATGATGTCTTGCGCTTCAAAGTATATCTCACTTCCATATTTCCACTTTACTCAGCTGCCGTTGATTTATTTTATGCATTTCCCCAATGAGCAATTCCAACTTCCTTTTAAAACAATTACAACTTCCGCCGTACACCCACAGGCCCCAGCGGAGACCCCGGCGCTCACATGAAACTCAGTTTGCCGTAAAGCAAACACATCGTCAAAATCACATTTCCTCATTTACAAGAGGCTGCTCGGAAAAGTACTAGGACTGAGGCACGACCTCGGAAAGGAGAGGCAGGCGGCAGACAGACCGAAAGACCGACAGACAGACAGCCACTCACTCAAAACGACGCCCAGGGCAACCGCAACTCTGGCGAAGGCAACTCCACATAATAAGCCTCATCATCATGGTGGGTGCTACATAATAGCAGCCATAATCACATTTCATATTTATCACATTTCTACGCCCACCGAATGGAGCCGGAGCAGAAGCAGGGCTCCCACCGCGCAGCGACCTGCGCCGCTTTGTTTGCCTTTCCTCCTTTTGCCTAACCTCGCAATTTGACCGTAAATAAATTGCCTGCTCATTTGGTAAGCGGTGGGCCTCCCCTCAAACCTCATCAGCATCCAATGCAAAGAGAGAGAGAGCGAATACCCGGATGGATAACCAGCTCGACATCGTGTTCAAATACGTTTAAAACACAATGCAAATACCGTTATAATAGCACAGGCAACAACAAGACGGCAGGAAATGAGAGCCATGGAAGTCGAAGCATTAAATACCCTTGCATATCTATTCTTTCTAAGGAGGTTGGAACTAGAATGAGTAAAGTTATAAGGGTTTATCCCACGGAACAAGGCATTCTTCGCAAGAGACCTACAGAAACTATGATTACGATGATAGTATGGCTTATGAAATATGATAATTGTATGTTGTAGAAATAGAACACTCTATAGATACTGATCAAGAATATATGTACATCTAAAGATCGAACCACTTCCAACTTCGGAATCGCTAATAGTCCATGCCAAATCCAGTTACCCTTTTAGAGGGTATAAAAAATCAGACAGCTGGAGTAAGCCCGGGCCCAGGGCCTTGGCTCCGCCTCCCAGCTTCCATCTCCACCCTCATCTCCACGCTCAACCCCGTAAAGGATCCCCCGTGCGTATGAGTGATTTCTGCTCATCTGCGCTTAAAAGTATGCAAATATTTCGGTGGGGAGCAGCCATTGGGAGGCGTGTCAGGAGCTGACTTTTATGACATTGTTGGTTGTTTGC